TATATATATATATATATATATATATATATATACACACACACCCACACACATAACCTTTAACCTTCAGCTGAATGGTGATTAGCTGCTGAAAGAAGTTGAAGGAAAAAATAAATCCATTACCAACAAACTGGTTATATAATTTTTACAAACCCTTTCTTTACTTGGACCAAAATTTTAATTTTTATCTAATATTTTATTCATAATTCCATATCTTTAAAATTAACAAAGAAACATCACTTGTATAATCTTTTAAAAGGGACAATATTAACTAATATATTTGTGTCCAACAGTACTTACCTATACATGTCAAACATACTGGAATACTTTCAAAACTATAAAATACTAGCTTGCAAATTAGAAAAGCATTTATCATAGCAAGTTTTATTGTTGATAATTGTACAGCCTTTTCATAGAGGGCAGTGATCATAACAAAAAAGAAATAATTCAGATAAAATGTCTTTAAAGAGACTAATTAAGTAAAATAATAAGACTTTGTATTTTGTAAGAAAACAATCTAAGGGCTCTTAAACATTTCACTCACAGCAAAAGGATGAAAAATAAACAAAAAAAAGATCAAGATTTTACTTGGAACTTTTCTTTCTATGTTACAACATTCAACACTTTGTCACTAACATAACAGGTACTTGGTATTAATGTTGCACCTAACCAATAACAGACCAATATTTGAATCCAACCAAACTTTAATGGCAGTGTGTCCTAAATACAATTTTTGATTACCATTAAAAAGAAACAAACAGAGAGCAATCTTGTCCATCAGAACTTAAGAGGTATGTTTAAATGATAAAAAAGCCATTATGACCACACCTCCAAGGTTAACACCATTAATCTATCTATGCAAGGAACTGAAAGTGTTACTTATTTCCATTGCTTATCGTAAGTTCGACTTCATTTGTTTAATTTACTGGTTATTATTAACAACATATACAGTTAAGCTTTAAAAAAAAAAGTTGAAGCTTTCTCTTGTCTAAATCAGAAATAATAACTCAAACAATACTTTTGCTATTTCAAGTACAAATCTTTTATTTTTTTATATATTTAACCCTTTCTGGACCAGAACGAGTGTCACTGACACCTACTGATTTTTTCTTTTCATGCTGAACATACTTAAGCAAATTCCATGATATTTACAAAAAAAAAACTTACTAAATATTATCTAGTTTTGACTTTATTTAGATAACTTTATTTACTTTTTCTCTAATGGTGTCATAGCATTATTATTGTTAGAAATCAATTTATATCTAATAAATATAGTATCTTTTAGAATAAATAATAAGTTCTTCTACTTGTGTGTATTGTTTGAATACAATAAACTTAACAATAATATTTAATAAATAAGGATTTAAGTCATCAAAAAATTTGAAGTTGCCTACTATACCCACTAAACCTAACTCAGCTTACCTGATGTCTTGTCAAAGAAGAACATTTCTATAGCTTTAAAACAAATACAGGTTAATGTAAAATCATTTTCTAGAGGAAAAAATATATATATATAAAAAAACTAAAATAAATTCTCCGGACTATGAGTTTTCTCTCAGTCTTTTAAACCTCCAATTAAATTTGTGTTCTTCTAACCGTGAGCTACAACTTGTCACTTTTCCACAAAACCATAAATTGCTTTTCATATCACTTTAGTCACCCTACATTGATATAATTACTTTATAACCTGCTCTATCCAGTCATATTTAAATCTTTCCTGTAACTATTTTAAAAGCTGAAACTTCATTTGTAGTTGTTCGGGTCACATCTTGTGAAATCATAAAGAGATGTGAATTGAAGCATGTAGTAATGAAAGTAGAAAAAGAGAAGAAAGACCATAAAAGAAACAATATAAGGATGATAGCTTCTTAGCAAATACTAATGTCTGTATTGAGGTAGGCAGAAAATTCTAAAAAAAAACAAAAAATGGTGTGTTGTTTGCAGGCAAGACTGTTCATAGCTATACAGAAATTAATATTTGAAGATTTTTTTAAAAAGTTTTTTTTGCTAATTATATTAAACAAATATTACAAAATGATACCATATGAATTCTAAAATATTTTTAGTTAAAAATTGTTTAAATAAAATTAAAATTATTTTTATTTAAATATAGAAATTTAATATGCCGATTTGCACTCAACAACTGAAAAGTGTACACTGGTCCTGAAAGGGTTAATTTTTGGGGTGAGTGGGTTGTTGTACGATCTTAACACTGTATTAGAATATATCTCGAAACCTGTAAAATTCCACTAGTGGACGTCAATTTTTTATTTTTTTTGGCAACAAATAATTTTTGTCTTCAAACAGATGCTTGACCTATAATATCTTAAAAGGTTTACATCATACATTAAACATATCCATTTCTTTTCTCCACATTCAATTTGTAACTTTGGTTCTTTCAGATTTTAAAAGTGTATTTTGCTCTTAACACAGATGAGTCTATTATACTCCCTAACTTTTTTTTCTTTTTAAATACAATGGAATGAACTTTCTTTTAAGACCCAATACTCAGAAATAAGAGATTTCTGTTTACAGGCTATTGCAAAGCAAGGACTTTGACCTGCCATCACTCCAGTGTAGTGATGCCTCTGGTTTGAAAGCTAAGACATATGCCATCAATTTCCTCCTCAACGAAAAATGATGGCACCGTCTCATTCCCCCAACAGTCCAGTAACCAGCTCATCAGTACTGAAGTGAAGTGAGCATGTAGCTCTGGCAAAGTGTTTACTTACAAAACCATATACAATGGAGGGTGTCCACTGTCTTAATGCACGGAGGACAGGTGTTTTCTTGCCAATGTCTAAAAGACTCTCTCTGTCTTTGGGACGAGGTAACACAGTACCTACTAATGTCAGAAGCACAACAGTCCAGAACTTTTAATAATGTACTGATTTCACTTGTATTTGTGCCTTGTACTACTTGCAGTTTTTGCCTGCTAGATCCCTATACTCTCATTTACCCTCCTCAGCTGGCTTATCAGACAGTTCCTTCAACTTCTCCACGTATTCAGAAAATATATCTCGGAAACGGCCCCATGATTTTTCTGGAATGGTGATTGCAGTCCTAAAGTTGCTCTTCACCTAGAAATAAAAAGAAGTAATTTTTGTAAGAATACCTAAAAATAAAAGTAAAAATATCAGTATTTTAGTGGCTAAGAGGCAATTTCAATTAAGCATGTACAGATTGACGTCTAAAAAAATCACCAAGTGGCCATGGATCTCTGAAACCACATATGGATATCAAAGTAATATAATCCAAAAACAGCATAAAGCTCTAAACGTTACACACAATTCTTCTTCATTACTTCATAAAAAGAGCATACTTTCAAGATTTTTAACTTTTATATGCATATGCATAAAACTGGCTTGAAAAACGTGTGATTTCTTTGTTTCTTTGTATATAAAAAAAATACAACAACAAGAATTTTTTTTTTGTGCACTTTTACTTATTTAAGCCTCAGGTTCCCCGATTACCAGATTATACCTGCAGGATTCATTGCTGTGAAACCTACAATGTACTTTTGGGATAATTTAGTTCATAAGTTGCAGTAAAGCAAATGGCAGTATTCTGGAAACTAATCACACACATACAAAATACAGAGCAATAAAGTCATACTTAAGAATAAAATACCAATTTCAGATAAATGTTTTCACACATAACATAAACTAAAAGTCAGTTTAATATCTTTATCAACTCACAGACTGAGGCCGAGTTTAAAAGACACAAACCACTATTGAACAAGCTACTGAAAATGAGCATCTCGGAATGTTTTACAACAAGGTACTGGGTTCTGTTAATGAATACATGGTATAATATTGTCACACCATTATCCCTCTTACAAAATACATGACTTATGTTTTAGTTATATAATTTATAGGAATGTAGTTAAATATGTATTAACTGTCACTAATGGTTCATTCATGACTTAACATTTCTGTACAAGGAAAAAGTATGTTTATGCAAACAAAGAACACTGGCTGTGCCAGAATGGGCTCTGCAGAGACAAGAAGCTGCAGGATGTGACAAGCCCTGGTTTTGGTTGCTTCAAAATGCATTCATGGGTCATCGACTACCACTTAGGAATAATAGGTTAAATGTAAAAAAGAAAAAAAAAGTTATTTACAAAACTAAGTTTCATTGGCGGATAAAACAAGGATGGTGTGACAGACTGTTATATCATGTATTTTGTAAGAAGGATAATGGTGTGACAGTCTGTTATATCATGTATTTTGTAAGAAGGATAATGTTGTGACAGTCTGTTATTTGTTTAATGTAGGATTTCCATTTCCCTAATATAAACACTGAAACCAAATGTTTCTTCGTTTATCATTAAGTGCCTCACGTGATGACTTTGAAACCCCACATTCCCTTTCTTCCTCAGAAGGATTGACTTTCCATTCAAGCTCTTAGGTGCTGACTTTTCTAGAGTTGTGAACCAAATGTGATATTATGCTGTATAGAAATTAGTTGTTAGATTCTGTCAGTTGAGATTTCTCTCTTGAAGTGGATTTTTATTTTTAAAAGAAGTGTTCAAGAAGAGGCATTTCAACTTGCCAATATACACACACACATTCAATCTTTGTTTACACAGATATTTTCCTTGGAAATCTTACGATGTTAATTTATGATACAAGTGCTCACAGTTAGGCAAGTCATTTTTAACTCATTAATCCTTCAATTAAGGTCATCCCATGAATCAGCAATATGTAGGAATTAAATAGCCTTGGCAAGTTTCTGTGTAACTTAGTGAAAGACAGAATTATTTTGAAAATAATACAATTTTTATTTTTTAATATATTCTCTAATGCAATAAGATATAATAATGTATGTCTTATAGTAACGACTTCCTTTACTCAATCTGTGAAATAGTGTTATCGAACTAAAACTGCACACATATTGTGAGTGCCAAATCAATTAATCACAGAGTATAAAGTGTTAAAAACTAAAACATTTATACATACGTCAGGTTTGTAGTTATACACAAACTGTTTATTATAAACAACAAAAAATGCATACAAGTTAGTTAACATACATTTGTTTTGAAAACAAAATGATGATATTTTTTTCTATTCAAAATGACTAGATTTAACGTGTATCTTATGACAATTAATCAGCTTTGCTTTAATAACTAGTTTTTCATAGTTAACATATAAATAATTCACAATACTTCCACCCTAACAAGAAAGAAAATAAATACTTTGTTTTTAAAGCAAAAGCTGCATAATGGGCTATCCATGATATGCCCATCACAAATCTTAGCATTATAAGCCCTTAAAACTTACTGCTGAGTCACCAAGGGAATAAATACTGTTAGAATTACATTATCATACAATATTTACAGACAATTCCATATACCTTACAAGTGAAACCTTTTACCCAACTCTCTAATGCCACTCAGCAAAAAAAAACACACTATAAGTCACTTAACTATTCCTGGGCCTTATAGTACAAAAGAAGTCACTGGACTTAATTGATTTTCTGCAGTTTTCAGTGTTGGAGAGTAATTATTATTAAATTACTAGCTTTGTTAAGTCACTAATTACTATATTATAAATATATTAGTAGCTGTTTTGGCAGCAAGAACCTAAATTTTTTGTTTGTTTTTATAAAACCATTTGGACATTCAGTTGCTTTATAGCAACTTTTGATGCAAATCATAGCTGATGACACAAGGTTGAGAACTTCAAACTATACTTTTATGTAAATAGTAATTTTTTCTCTATTGTTGTAGAGTAGCTTTTCTTCATTCAAACTTATGTAACAAGTTTATACCCAAAATATTTTGAGTTAAGCTGAGAAAGCTAGATATTTTTCAAGTTGAAAGCCACAGTGGCCATATTTCACAAATAACTAAAATGGACAAAACCAAAAAACAACAATGTATTCATAACTAATTTAAAGAAAAAAAAAGCAGACTTATTACAAAGGGTACTATACAGATTTGGATGGGTTGTGAAATGATTCAAATTCAACATCTGTGATTTTATCTGATATAATTTTGAATATTTAAGGAACATACATTTTCGTAGCTAGAAAAGAATGTACCTTTATGACATGTTATTGGTGGATCAGCAGCAGGTGAATGTGCTAGTAATTAGCAGTTGCACAGGGCTACACTTGCCAGGTTTAAATGTGTCAGGTTTTTAGGTATGAGCTGGATTCTTTACAGTAGATGTCTGTGACTTGTTATATCCAAAGCTTTAAATAATTGTCTCATTTTCTGTCAGTCCACACGGGCTGGCTCAATTACTTTAGAACACAATTTGACAAGACAAATTATTCTTCTCTACTCTGTTATTACAATACTGTCTGTGATAATTTCACTTTAAAAATTGCTACTATATGCCCTTTATGGCTAAACTCAAAATCATATAGTCAAGATCTATCTAACTTAAACTACTTTTGGACACGTATTTATACCCCGACAGAGGTCTAGAACGTTCCACACACTACTAGATATTATGATGCAATAATACTAAATAAATACAACGGGTAACACAGTGTAATAATATAATAATCACCAATTCATAATCAGTAAACTACACAACATATGATTCATAAACAGTACAAAAATAAACATGCAATAAACTATCACTTCTAAAATAACTAAATTTAACTCAAGCTGTATAAACTATCTAAATCATAACTCTCACATTAAACTTAAGTGGAAACAGTTGTATATATCTAACAAAACAAAACATATTTTACATCTGATTAGATTACTATAACTTTCTTGGTATTATCATATTTTAGCTTGAACAGTATTACATTAGGACATGAGCTAAGTGGTCAGGACTCTAAAAGATCAGGCACAGCCATCCCTAATTTAGAACTGCTGAACAGAGGCCAGGCAACCAGTCAACAGACCTACCATATACACAGCTAGTCTTAACCAAATAGCAGAATTGACAGTCATTTTTATAATGCATCAAAAGTTGAAAGTAAAGAATATGTTCATCATGATATCATATGCTCAAACTTTTCAATTCTCAGACCAGCGTGTTTCTTTAGGTTAAATCAAACCAAATTTTCTGACTGAAACATAGAAAATGAAAGATAAAATTAATTAATACATTAAAAAGAAAATTCACTTATTTAGTTTTTCTTTAAAATGTTCTTTATGGTCTTGCTTAATCATATTAATACCAGTATATTTTTATAGTTTGCTCATTTTTTGTAAACATTCGTCCACCATTGTTATCTGTTTTTCTATTCTGACATTTAAAAATAAATAGTGTAATTGTTACACATGTTAAAATACTTGATTATCTTGATGCTTATTTGATTTGATGATAAGAAAAACACTACCCAATGGGCTAACCAGTACTATGCTCTTAACATATAGTGAAAACCAGTTTTTTGCATTACAAGCCCTCAAACTTACTGCTGAACCACCAGGAGGGGAGGCATTATATTGAATAAGTTCCAAATACATACAGTATCAATCATAAAAGTCTTGTAACTAGCACTTTATTTAAGTAGTAACAAAGATATCTGTTGAACATAGTTCATTTAATTAATGCTAACCTACCTCAGATATTCGCATATAGATCCCCCTGCTATTTTGGCCTATGTCAAAATAAAAGTTCTTGTTTTCTATACGCATATGACGAGCTTCAGGAAGCTCACCTTTGAATCCTAGAAAAAAAAAAAAATCTTATACTTTGTAATAACGAAATGCCTATAATAATAATATTAATGTTTACTTACATATACATAGATCAGTAGTTAAAAAAATATAAAAACATTGGGCATTCTTCAAACTGTTCAAATGGAAGTATTTCTTCAGAATCAAGACTTTCGAAGTACTTTAATTAAATATACAGTTCTCAGAATTGTGCGGATTGAACTACTTTGTTTAAACAGCATAACTCATTTGAGATTGATCTGTTGTGGGAACACGTTTTTCTAAGTAATTGGCTACTTCAACAGTATTGATATCATTATTTGGACTTCAACATTTAATTTACAGATACACTTTTTAAGAACATTCACTATTTGGATAATCTGGTTACTTTAAAACTTGTTAAACTTTATACCTTGTTCAAAGCAAAGTCATTTAAAAATGAACTGAAATAAAATCTAAACACATCATAATTCACTAAAACATTATTCTTTAATCAGTTCCCAGTGTTTAAGTCATCTAAATCCAAAACACTTAAATCACAATGTAATAGCCATAATGGTTTTATATGCAAATCTTCCTCAACTTTTGATAAAGATGGTTGACAAAATACAAAACATTTTATTTACAAGGTTCAAACATTTCAGAATATACTTATTCCACCTTCAGTGAAATATGAAAATAGTGTTAAAGATATTTATAATTTAATGTTATAGTATCAAATAACCCTTCTGCACCTGCTAATTAATAGCTATCTGACTGATTTAACAAATATCATTTACAATTTCCTAAACAAAAAATTCCAGCCACTTGTTAATGTCCACACTATCCCCAAATTTCCCCTCATTATCTACTTTCCTTTTATGGGCTCACAACCCTTACAAATTAATAAAACAATTCTTCTCTTTAATAAAAAATGTCTATCCCCAAATTCAGCTCAGACTAATATCCAGAACTAGCCTCTGCATTAAGTACTTTTTTCAATATAAATATCAAATATCTAAACTTATAGATGAGCAGTGTAGTGATTGAAAGCTCAGGTACATTGGCAAAACAAAACGCCACTTGAAAACTAGTCTGTGGACATTTAGGAGTATCTAACAGAACCAATCATCCATTACTTAAACTCGCCCATCCATTCCTTCACATGTTGAAACCACAGGTCACAATATTTCATATAACAATTTCTCTATCACTACTAGAAGACCTTCACACCTTGAACTCTACATTAAAGAAAGTTTACTCATAGATAAAGACAGTCCTACTTTTAATGACTTACACACCTCTTTACCCTAAAATTCTTCTAAATTCACTCACATAAAACTCAAATGTTTTGTAATATGGTCCATAATCTGTTTTTTCTTCTTTTTTCCTTACATTTACTACTCAATATCTAAGTAAACTAGTTATTAAAGATACTATAGCATTAGTTAATAAAAATATATTTGTAACACGATTTTCAGATTTTACTGAAGATGATATAAGTGTATTCTGAAACTTTCGAAGCTTGTAAATAAAATGTTTTGTCAACAATCTTCATCTTTCATTATTAGACTTTGTTTTCCATCTCAACTTGTTCGCAATTTCACTTTTACGTCATATACATATGTTTCCCAAACTCTCTTCAATTTTGATATCCTTGGCTAGAAATGTAAAAAAAAATTATAATAATATTAACCATCATTCCTGTCCTTGTGTAATAGTTAATGTATTTAATTCTAAGCTAACCCAAATGTCAAATTATAATTTCTCAATAACTAATAAGTACAAAAACTTCTACTTAATGTGATAGTTTACATACAAAAAACAAACATATCTCCAAAGTGTGACTTAATTTGTTATTATAAAACAACAGTTTATTTTTTTGGAGTTTATCTTTTTCAATTAAATATATAAAAAAAGAAGTTAAACACAACCTTCTCATTACACATATATAGGATTCTTGCTCTACTAGGAAATTATTCTACTATATCAGCACAGTATTATTTTCAGTTTCTTATATTGTGTTAGAAGAAACCAATTTATTGACTCAACATTCTCTGATTCATTCCAAAACTTCTGTCTCCATACTGTTGTCTGCTTTATCATATAACTTCTGTATACACACATTTTGTCACTTGCTTCATCACATAACTTCTTCTTCATTCTCCTTGTTTTCATCACACATGATAGCTATTAGTTTAATTAATGTATTAAGTGATTACATAAAATAAACTTACTACCATATGACATATCATCTTCTGTGCCAAATTCTTCTAGAAGGTCAGTTAGAGCATCACGGAATTCTATCATTCCCTGTGCTGGTACAGCAACTTGGGAACGTGGACCTCCTCTGGCTATTGTTTGTGAAATCTACAGGATTGGGGGAAAAGAATAGTGAATAAAGATGGTGGATTATAAAAATCATTTAAGTCATGGTGGAAGAAACAAAATATTTTCTAAAAATACCCTAAGTAATCACTAGTAAACCTTACAAATTACCAACTGCAATATAACTTTTAAACATTGAAATAAATGATGTACTGTGGATGTAATTAAAACATTGGACTTTGTTTGTAGTTAAGCACAAAGCTACACAATAGGCTATCTGTGCCAAGTCCACCATAGGTATCGAAACCCAATTTATAACATTATAAGTCCACAGACTTACTACTGTGCCAATAGGGAGCAGCATGGAAATTAAAGACAGTATCAAATTATGCTAAAATAAATTGATAAAGATGCATTTGTTGTTTATCACAAAGAAAAAAAACAATATGCTAAAGCTTACTACAGTATCACAAAGAAAAAAACAATATGCTAAAGCTTACTACAGTATCACAAAGAAAAAAACAATATGCTAAAGCTTACTACAGTATCACAAAGAAAAAAAACAATATGCTAAAGCTTACTACAGTATCACAAAGAAAAAACACAATATGCTAAAGCTTACTACAGTATCACAAAGAAAAAAACAATATGCTAAAGCTTACTACAGTATGCAAGTTTTTAAACCAGTTTTAACCCTTTCTGTGATACACACAGTCTTAATACCAGAAGGGCTTTAACTCTTCATGGATTAGCAAAGTGTCACTGACATCCCATAGTCTTTTACATTTTCACAGTAAAATACTTAACCAAACTGTCTGAAACTTAGAGTAGCTAGTTTTTGCAAATAAATAAATAAAAAAAATCATGCAATTTGTTTTAGTACATTTTCAATTTAAGGTGGTGAAACTTTCAGAATTTTGTTGTGAGGCACTGTTCTGAAAAGTGATTAAAGATACTTCCTTCCACCTTGAGACTTTTAAATAATCTTTATTGATGATAAGAAAGTTTTGTTTTATATATCCAGTCAGATTCATTAATGTAATTATTTTGGTACTTCACCAATTAAGGCAACTGCATTCTTACCATAAATCATGTAAAACATGGCAAAACTGACAAAGATAAATTGGCGACCCATAAACTCACTTTTTTGATATTATAAGTAGCATTATCATTAACCTATTATAGTGTGACCTTTGGCAATATAATATTTTGGTAGATACAGGTAGAGCTGGTCAAACCCTCCTAAAGAATTCAGTGTGTCATATGATTTTATACAAATAAATATTAAAATCACAACAAAAAAAAGGAGCAATTACATATTTTCTTCATTTAGATGCTCAAAATGTTGATGTATGTTTTAAAATGGCTAAATAAATTTTCCTGCATGTGGTTTGATGAGTCTGTGCATTGGATTCCATAATTAAAGTGATTTTTTGTATATTATATAACACATTTTCCAAACCTAAATTAATCAATACATTTTGCAGCCTATCTTCTTAGTCTATAATGGATCTTTCACTAGTTGAGATCAATTTATATTGAGTAATTATAGTGTTTTGCAGATATAAAGTATTTTACTTGTGTATGTTGTTTGAATACATTAAAGTGAATAATATAGTCAATAAAAAATGTCTTGTGTCATCTTAAAAGTTGTCTATCACTTACTACACTTATTAAGCCTAACTAAAATTACCCGATGTCTAGTCATAGAAAAAAAAATTACAATTTAATAATTTCTATTCAGATTCTTGGTTCACTCTATAAAAACTAGTTGGCTGATATATCAAAAATCCAAATTACTGCTAAAACCTCATTATTTACTCTATAGTGATGTAAACAGATTTGAATAGAAGGAATTTCATGGTCTTTAGCTTTAGGCTCTAATTATTTTCAAAGCTTTCAACTGAAGAGATCAGACCACCACTATCACATGCCAAATCACTGATAGAGAAGGGAGGTAATGTGAAAAATAAGACATGGTTTATTATATTTCCAATGGATGATAGCTTCTTTGCAAATACAAACCTAAGTCTTGGGATAAACAGAAATATTCTAAAAAAAAATCAATAAAGTTCTGTTTACAGGTGAAAGTCTCAGGGCTGTGCAATAATGAAAATTGGAATTTTTTCTTTTTTTTTTATGAAATACACTAAATGAGTATCTTGTAATGGTAAAATAGCAATTCTGAAATACTTCTGGGTTAGAAATTGGGGAAATAGATTTATATTTATATTGTTTTTCTTAAATTTTAAAATTTGATATGCAGGCATGCTTTCATCAGAGTTATGCACTACTGTTTCTCAAACATGTTACATGTCAGAAAAATAATTTAATGAAATAAACAAGGCTAAAATATATATTTCAAAAACATTTTTAAATGTTGGGTTGTTCTCTTTCACAGGAAAATTAAAGGCAAGTCTTACGTTATAATGAAATAAGACAGAAGTAATCCAACACTTACCCGTAAAAACCTTCCTCTAGAATTTTCTTTAAGGTCAAGGTAATACCTTCTGTTTTCTTTTATCATCACTTCACTTTTTAACTTACCATCTTCTGGTAAGTTATCTGGATTAGGTGGACCTGATGTTACAAAAAAAATAAATATTAAAAACAAAAATTTCCTACAGTAAAAGACACTCAGAGAGTAACCTTAGCCTTTTTGATTGGTTTTGCTTTAATAACTTATGTAAATATCAGTATAATGTTATCCAAAATTGATACTGTTATGAAACTGTGATCCTGAATTACAGTTTTGAAAATATATTTTCAAGGCTCTACAGCAGCCACAGCAAAATATAACTTTTATGTAACCGGGAAATTCTGTTTTTCTAGTAACACTTGCTAATCAATAATGGATGTGAATCTAAAACGTAAAAAAAAAAAAAAAAAAATGCAACTGAACAGATTATTAAATTTCAAATTGCAAACGTCAAACATGGCTAAAACATTTAGTGTGATTTTTTTAAAGCAGGAACACTTTTAAACTTAAAAATAAGGCACATTTACAGCCATATAATACTTCAATGGATTAAAACCTCACAGTGTGGGTTAGGTCACCTAATGCCAGTTGATGAGGAACGTTACTGATATAATATAAAAAAATAAAAAAATAGTGGTCAAAGTTTAAATAAATATAATATTACTGATATAATATAAAAAAAAAAATAGAGGTCAAAGTTTAAATAAATATAATAATGGTTGTATTCAAATTTTGCAGGTGAAAAGATGCTCAGAATGCACGATAAAGGGTTGTAATTTTATTACTATACATGTAGTAGGTCTAACAAGTCGCAGCGATACGAGGAGAAATAATCTACTCAACACTACTGAAAAATTTCAAACTATCCACCTGTATTTAATCCCTCAAAAAAATAACAGTTTTATGTATTTATAATCCTAGTTTAAAGTTTAACTTAAAACTTATTTGCCATTGTTGCTTGGTTTGTTTGCACAAAGTTACACAAGGGTTATTTCTACTCGCCATCCCTAATTTTGAAGTGACATAATAAAAGGAAGTCAGCTAGTCAATACTACCTACTGCCAACTCTTGGGCTACTCTTTGACCAACAAACAGTGGGATTGATCATCATAATATAGTGCACCCACAGCTGAAAGTGTGAGCATGTTTGGTGATGAGGATACAAACCCACAACCCTAAAGGTTACCATTAACAGGTACAACATAAGATAAAACAAGTAACAATATTTCAATATCTGATACATATTTATTTTCTATACATGGAAATGATGGCATAATTTCTAATTATAGTGAGGGATGGGTTCTTGCAAATGATCGTTTCTGCAAATTACTTAAAAGATTTTTATAATGCCTAAACAAGATTGAATGAATTAGTATCACAAGACTTATACATGCCTAATTATATTCATAAATGTATGAATTCATAAATACAGACAGTGGTCCAGAGAAGGCTTTCTTTAATCTTCTATGTAAAAAAATGCCCCTGCAACTATCAACTCAAATCTCATAATATTATATGGTTATTTCTTATTGAAATACATGAAAAAGATAAAATAAATTATTAGAATATTCAAACAATATTATTCTTCCAACACTAACTCATACAATTACATTCTGTATCCACAATACACTTGTTATATAATGCTCTTATAAACAGTGAAAATAGGTTCTAGTTTTTTTGAACTTAAAATGTTTAAAAAAGAAAAACTCAGGTTTTCATTCAAAATGGTTATTTATCATTTTTATCTTATTGAGGTGAATGTTTCAATTTCTAATGAAATAATTTCACAGAAAACAAAAATCTGGTTTTGATTCTCCAAGAAATAAGAATCAAAACAATCTTTCGAAGAATTTTTAGGATTTTCCAAATAAACATAGTCTGACATTATTCCAATTTCACACTAAGGAAGAATGCATGAGAGTAAAAAATAATGACCCTACTCACCCAGTGAAGCGTATATTTCACTAAAAGATGTCAAATGATCTCGCAGTTCTAGAGCTGTGGACATTGCTAATAACAGACGACTCTTTCTACCTGCGGGACCAACCTGAGTGATTATAAACAAACACTTTCATTACATTGTTTCAATAACAAAATCTCCCAAACATTCAATGTGATTGTAGTTTTTTTTAAAAAAAAAATGACAAAAACACATAAACTGCATGGTTCATTTCACTAACTAACGACACCTGTATCCACGAAAAAGAAATTACAACTGAGCATATAAGAAAAAAGACTATTTCCCCACATATTGTGTGGTTCAACAGACTTTTAATAACAAATGTTTTAAAATGTGTAAACTTTGCACAATAAATCAAAATCAGATATGAAATAATGAGGTTTTAAGTACATATGTACACCAACATTTGATTGTATAGTATACACTGTACCTAAAAGTACTTGCCACTGTGTCCGTCAGGCACACACACACACATGATTACTTTTCAAAATCAGATACATACAAAACAAAACTGATAGAGAGAAAAGTTTTATTTTGGTATCACTGTTTAATTTCCAGAACTGTTAACATTTACTGTTTTTTTTTCTCAGCCAATCTTTAGCAAGAGAAGGAAAGTTCTCTTTCATTTGACCATTCTTCGGTTATATTAGTTTCAGGGTAAACTGACCGACTTCAACACCAAGTGCTGGTAATGATTCATATCTTGTGACTAAAAAGAGAGATAAAAGCCTGAATTAACAGAGAACTTCACAAAAAGAAGTATGTTTCATTCATTAACAAATACGTAAGGAAAATGTTGGGTGAAAATTTTGAAAAAAAAAACATATTCAAATTCAATTATTTTATTACTAGGATCTATCTATGTATATAAAGTAGAGTTTCCTTCTGTTTCTATACATAGTGTCACAAGATGTCAAGAGCTAACTTTGCTGAAATACAGAAATCAATTCAATAAGCAATTGGATAAATGGTTCAATATGGTAGCAATTCCAATTTGACTGCCTTAATGCCAAGAAAAGAGCTCAACTGAGGTCAGTAACAAAATACATGAAACCAATGCTAAATGAAAGTGATACCTAATGCCACTCACAGCATGTGTAATGTTGTATTTGATGAAAAGGCTTACACTCTTAAAGCAGTGGCCCATATCACCTTTTACAGCATTCAAGTTTTCAAATAATGCTCTTATTACCCAATGTGGCATAAATTATTCAACTAAATGGTACACTCAGGTAAAAAAACAACAAAGAAACCAATTTGTATAGGGGGGGGGTACAAGGCTCACTTCTTATCACATGTAGGTTGGATTAAGTAATAAGAAACATTTAAAAAAAATAATAAAAAATTCAGAGACTTTTCCAGATTTTAAACTTGCTGACTTTATAAACTGGTCTTGGTGTGTGTGTGTGTGTGATGCCTCAAAAGATGTTTGCCCAACAAGACTAGGGGAGAAAGTTCTTGCATACATTCCACACTTGGAAGGTAAAATATACAGTGTTTGAAAACACTGCTGGAGAGGATATTTCTGATACTTGATCCCAATCTTCTGAAATTAGTTTTTTTTTTTTTTTGTTTAGGAGCTGCAACAGTGTGTCATCAAGATTTAACAAACCCTTTACTTCACTCCTCATTGTCAAGAAGAGTTTAAAGTCCCTGCTAGTCCTTAGTTGGATGTTACTCAAGAGGCCTTACATTTACAATAAAAGCACTGATAACACTGCTGCTTTCTCAATCATGCAGCTTATTTGTTTCAAAAGCATGAGAAAATGCTCAAGAAAAGGAATATCCAAGGAGCTACATCATCAGTGTGTTTGTGAAATTATTTTACTTCTTTTCCTTGGCCTAATGTCGCATGGCAAAAATTAGAAAAAGAGACATTGTCAACAAACTCTTACAAAAAATTACTAGCATTCTCTGTGAGCAGTACTTGAAACACAATAAGATTTGTTCCCCAGGATTGCAATATGGGATGTTCACTTGGTAACATATCAAATCTGGTAGTGTTTGTACAATACAAATTATAATTTCATATTGGTCCTATCCTCTGACATCACTTTTAAATGGTGGAACTTCTGTCTTAACTAGCACCCTTTTACATAAATGCAATGAATTTATTTATCTACTAGATTTACAGCAATGGCATGCAAGCAGGATTGTTCAAAATCAGTCATTATTATGTAACAGAACCAAACAGAAGCTTGGTTCGCTTGGACCTGTATTTGTTTTACTCAAGGCATACTAACATAACTTTTTGCCAAGTGGCATACTGGTATCGCATTTTGCATCAGTAGCATGTTGATAAATTATAAAATACCTCAGCAACTTTGATGAATCTCCCTCTTCTGTTCTGCTTAACATCCAAGTAAAACCGTTTGGACTGTATCTGCAGTACTTTTGTAGCCAGTTCTTCTTCAGGGGGTGGCATAAGCTGCCCTGCAGGAAAAAAAAGATGAACAGTCAGTTGACAGCAAAAAACATTATTCACTTAATCTCAATAATGCAACTGTACTCCTACCTTTCTGGACAATTAGCATCTAATTCTTTCTTTGGGTTATTTCACTAAGATTATTCTTGGAGGTAAACTGTTAAATAAGAGCTGAAAACAAAACACATCTTTTTTTAACCAGAAATTGAGCTAGACAGCTTATATTCTCCACTTTTTTTGTTAACTTAAATAGTTTACCAGGTACACAAGTATTTTACTAATTTCAGGTGTAAAGCTTTCACAAAGAGAACTTTTAATTTCAAGTCTTATCCTAGGAGAAAGTGGCCATAAATTTCTCATTTTTCACCTTTAAGGAAACATACATAATGGCTAGTAAACTACATAAAGAGCATCAAGTTAAAAACTTATTTTTTCAGATATGCTTGCTCAAAGCTACATAAGTGATATCTACATTAGCCATCCCTAATTTTTAACTGAAAGCCTAGAAAAAAAGTTGTTAGCAAACAACAACTACCATCAACTCTTAGGCAAAGTGTTGAGCATGATTTTGTGGTGATGGCACACTAGCAATAGGCCATGTCCAGGTTAAAAATAAAATACTAATATTTTTCAAAATGATATATTTAGTAACAACACCATTTGCAAATAAATTATTTACAAATCAATATGGGCTACCTTGGGAATAAATAGGAAATGTATAGAAAATCCTGTGATCTCATCTGACGTTCATAATTCTATTTTTTTTACACCTGTCTAAAATAACATCTGATTTAATCTGTAAAGTAGAACTCTCTATTCGTGAAATTAGTAATTACCTAAGAGGGTCTTGTATTAATGTATAGCAACATGCCAGGTGTCATGACAGTGCATTTTGGATTAGCTAAACTATGCATGTCACATGACTCATTTTCTCAACCTTCAGCACATAGTACAAGTTCAAGGCAAGCATGAAATACCCTTTCACCCAGAAAACTGAATAACATATTTGGTCTAGTGGTTGAGGTTACATATCAAAGTTTCATAGACACATACTTTTTATAACAACACGCAAGTAAAGTCATACATAATTACACAATTATGGTTTTTGCATTGAAGACATAAAAACACTGTTACTATTTCCACTTTACTTAACCTCCAATTCTTGATCAGTTGGACATTCATTTTCAAAAGTATTCATTTTCAGATAAGCAAAAGGTGGAATATTTCATACAAGGTTTACCACTTAATTAAAATTATCACCAAAATGTATTAAAAAGAGTTATGACTTGTATGCTATTCTAAGCTTTCTATTAGTCTGAGCTAATCATAATTCAATTTCATAGTTTAAACCTTACTGAAAACAGACAAGAAGCTACTAAACCCAAGGACTCTATTCATTATAATCCTACAATAACACGTTGTATTGTCATTCATGACACAAAAGGCTATTCAATACGAAACAGCAGAGCTTAGAGTTCTATCTGTCTTTTATGTTTTACAAACTGTCAGAAAACATTTGACATATAAATGTTTGTATTTTCTAGTAACTGCAACATATTTAAAAACTACACAATCCAATAAGACTGTGTAATGCATGGTTATAGCATGAAAAACTTTGGTAAACACGATTTAAATACTTAAGTCCCAAGTATTATTGAGAATAAAATAATAATGTTGAACTTAGTTTTAACTTTCTATAGTGCTGTGTTACACTGTCATAACAGATATTTACTTAGATTTCTCCTCCAATAAGGCTTAATAACTATATTACAGTTGCTAGTTGGAAATTTCATCTCAGACTGTATTTTAACCTAGTAAATAATTGTACAGTCTGTACTTTGTTCCTGCAAATTAACTGTACAGTATTTCGAAATATACAAATACTCTTTTACTTATTCACCTCTGAATTTTGTTTTTATCTCAGATATTTACACACAAGTGCTATCTGTACAAGCCATCCCTAATTTTGAACTGATAAGGTTAGGAGGAAGACAGCTAATCAACAGCACCCACCACCAACTCATTGAGATACTCTGGTCAATGGCCCCAAAGTGCAGAAAATTATTTTTTAACAGCAATGGGACACAAATCACAAACCCTCGGATCCATAGTCCAACTTGAGAACCACTAGGTTGCAGCTTGTTCAACAATGGATTTCTACAGTGCAACTTTTAGAAACATATCATGGTCAAACCTAATCATAGATAATAGTATAATTTTGTTAAGGTTCACTAAAATTAGTAAAAATATAACTCAAGACATTAAACAGCAAAACAATCTTTTCTAATGAGCTCTTCTAAACATTTTATGAATATTAAAACAGGTTATTTGACATCATATTTTACACACAGTTTTATACCTGAACTTTTAATCTTTTCTTCTCTTTTTTTTTTTTTTACTAAAACCCACTATACCGTTCTCCTAAAAAGTGGATTCCTTGTTTTCTGTAATTATCTGGTTGAATAATTTCTTGGAAAATATTTTTAAAAACTGTAGTAAAATTTAACTGTGTATACATGATTCATACAAGACATTATAGTTAAATACAAACATAAACGTGTGTGTGTGTGTGAATGCAATGCAATGCATACATACGCACAAACCAAACATGTATTCAATCCAACTGTTCCTTGAAGGCCATAAAACAAATAAAAAAGTTAAATCTTTTCCATACAACCTTATCATTCAATCATGTTACACACAATGAATAACAATAATCTTACACGAAAAGTTTCTTCTGTATGAAAAATCTAAACAAATTCCATGTTTCCAACTAGTGATGAAATTACACAGAAAAACCAAAAAAGAAATTTACTTTAAATCTAGACTGATTATATGTTGAACAAGAAGCTGTATTTTACCTCACTTATTTCAAAACAGGTTATTCAAAGTTTTTACTTATTAATCAGGGAATATTCTAAAAAACTGTGGTACCTACTTACGAGGAACTAAAGGTAGTTATCAGGCTTTGAAAAAAACAGAAGTAACAGACCTAAGTAAAATGTTTTTCTTCAATTGTGATTATGCCTGTCTTGTTGTTTATAAGAGCCACAAATAAAATGCTATTGAACAACATACTACTTTTATATTTGAAGTAAACATCAGTGAAAGTATTTACTGTTCAGACTGACTATCTTAGAGTTACTGGAAAAGTTGTTTCTCAAAAGAAAAAATAGATCCAATTATACAAACACGCAAAGATGTTATTTTATTTTGTTAATATGTCCTAAAAGTTACAGCTTGAAAGATATTCAACTAGATATGTATGTATGTATGTATGTGGCGTGCCTTATCACTTTGGAGAAATATCCTTGATTCAAAGCCCTTAGACTACATGGTAAGAGTAATGTCCGAACAGACGAGACATTTTCGCCAGACAGACAGATTGTTTTGTCTCGCCGAAAGATCTTTACTTAGTTTCTAATGGAAAGAGTGCGCAAACACGCCTCTCTACCTGGCGAAACGTGAACTTGTACGCTCTACTGAAAGTGTCAGTGGACTTTTCGTCTGAGGTAGCTGCTAGTCTTTGAAGAGCGTCATGATGAAACTAACCAATCACACGATGAAATTATTTCTTTCTGGCCAATCACATGATAAACGTTCCTCCTTCTGCTCTACTGAAACAAACGCCTCGTCTGCCGCGTTTTCAAAATACGTTAAAAGCGGGAAATGCAGTGATTGTATTGTCGCATTCAACACGTCTGCACCACACGTCACAATACATAATATACCGCATTCCAAAGATGCGCGAATGTTACTGTTATCAAATGAACTGCGCAAAGCGGTTAGTTGCGGCAGGATGTAAATTTCTCGAGTTCTCAGTTTCTTGAAAATGTTCGTTACATTAACTCCTTACAATCTCTCTAATTTCTGAATAATTAATCAATTTTCGAATAAAATTTCTCAATAATTATTGAAGAATTTTTCTTTCTGAAAACATAGCAACTTTATGCGTTAGCGGTTACTGAAAATTACCTAAGTAATCACATTAATTAACAACTAATAAAATAACACGTAAACGATAATGTTCAGTAAGTTATTATTTAATGCCTGAAAAACGCCCAGTCAGACACAGAAATAAATGATTATTATTAAACCTCTCAAACATACGAATAATGAATTTCAAAAACCGATCCGTTCCATTTCGGTTCTTGTTGTTTTCCTCTTTCAATCTCTTAGTCACTTACTTTGATAGTCGAAGCGACTGTCACAGTTTGGTTTGATTTGTCAGATAAAATCTAATACCTTATTAAAATATTTCCAATATATAATCAACATTAATAAATCTCTTTACACATACACCAACGTCCCCTTTCTGCACATTTTACAGCTGCTATAACGACTTAAATCCGTTAAAACTTAACCTGCAGCTCAAAATAAAATAAAAAACAATACACAAACTAAATATGTGAAAAAACAACAACAAAATATAATGAAATTCTCACCTACTGTTCGCTGTACTGCATGTAAGTTCAACTTAGCTTTAATTTTATTAACTTTACATGCAAGTGCGAATATGTTTTTCTGGAAATTACGTGGTATTATACGTTGAAACTAATCATCAAACTTCAGTGAAAATGGTCCCGAACAAGGTGGATGATATACAACAAAACATTGATGCTTTCATCATGCACAAGTCGTTAACACAAACCATACGTACACACAGAAAAAATATAAAATATTTTAATGAATTTAACGAGTTGTTTCATTCACTAAGCCAGTGTTTCGCAAAAAGTTTCATTTTTCTATAGCCGTTTAAAACATAATAATAAACAATTACAATGACATCCGTTGGAATGAGAAGTGAAAGTTGAATCGCAAGCCAATTAATTCATAACTGTTTGTTTGATTTTGTGTGTTGGTGTTCTCACCCCACCCTACAATGAGCATTGCAATTGGTGGTTTGCGTATATGCTTTTAGTAGTTCAAGGTGTGTCTCAGTGAGAAAAGTGTGGGAAACAGCTGTTAAAAATTTTGTGCGGTTTGGATCCCCCCCCCCCCAAAAAAA